TACATTAGCCTAGTCATAAACTACATGACAAATTTGATAAATATTATGTTTAAACGATGATCTTAAAAGTATTGAAGGTTTAGATGTGTAAATGAGAAGGCACAGGAAATTGACAAAGGGAAAACATTTTAAAATTGATTTTCCTATTATGTAATGAAAAAAGAGCCGATGGAAACTTAGCTAGGTTTTTCTTTTAACTTTACTCGTTTGGCATTTTCTATTTAAGAAATACAATTGTCCACAATGTGCACCTTAACCTTGTTGTTTTATGAGAACACCGAAGTTGATCCCCTTAAAAAAAAAAGGTCGGTGTCTTAATCTCGTAGGTCTTCATCAAGAAAATAAATAAATAAATAATCTCATAGGTCAACTTGCTAAAGGAGCTTAAGCCACGTCAAGAGAATAATTGGGCAAGTAGACCTTATTACATGGTCATTTAGGAATTGAGGACGTGCGTAACCTATATTCTTACCACACATCATTTCAGTATTTAATTTATTTTCATGCGATTTATCATCTAAAAAAGAATTAGAAAAGTATAGTTTTGTGCAGTGTTCTTTTAATTTGACCAAGACTTTTGGTTAGGTCTCAATCAATATAATTCACTAGCCTTTGCCGTGAAGAGAACTGCTCAGTAGAGAAACTACAACTAGCAAATAATAATAGTCGGTCGTAGATATACAGTACTTTGGAGAAATCAATTTCTGCTTAAATTAGCGGGGGGAGCTTAATTCACACGCACACACAAAAAGTCTTTCATGGATCTACAATCTTCTATTTGCCTCTTTGTGAGGGAGTGAAGCTTTTATTCGGCAAGGAAATTATCATCGTCTTTCTTTGGTAACTGGAGTAAGTTTTAGAGTTCCATGTTAGTGGTTAGTGTGAAATTTAATCTAGCTTGTCATTTTCAACTTTTTAGAAAAGCATATCCCTTTATCTCAAGTAGCTTTTATTTTTCCTTAGCTTGTGAGAGGGGTTGAATCTTTTTAATTTTTTTCCCTAACGGAATTTGGTGGAAAATCTTCCACATAAGATTATCTTTTTAGGAAAATTATATCTATAATGTAAATTTTTTTTTGATAAAGGAGAAGATTTCTTTTCAAGGAAAAAAATTATTATATAACTTTGTCACAAGTGTTTTAGATTAAACGGGCGTATCATTTTTACGTACTTGATTAGCATGTCACTGATATGGAATATATCGGGATCACTATATAACCTGTATCATCAGTGTAGAAATTATGCTGCATTTTGTTTCCACTTTTTTATTACGTAAAACACTCTTTAGTTTTGAAAATTGATAAAAATATTGTTCTTCTTTTTTTTCCTTTTTTTCATAGAGAACGTGAGATGGATGTTAATTTTTTCACCTGAATTGGATTTTAACTTTTTTCACGTGAATTGGATGTTAATTTTTTCAAATGAAATCAAGAGAGGAATTTTTTTCAAATGAAATCAAGAGATGCTTTTTAGGGAAGATTAAAGCACCAACAACTTGGGAATGGAAGGCTTTCTTTTTCCTTTTCCCCCCTTTCTCTAGAAGAAGCAATGAGTAGTTGCCCCAATGTTCCATTC